GGTACAGAGCTAAACAGAGAATTCTCAGTAGAGGAATACAGAATGGCGGAGAAACACTTAAAAGAAATGCTCAACGTCCTTAGCCATCACAGAGATGCAAATCAAAACGACCCTGAGATTTCACCTGACACCCACCAGAATGGCTAAGATCAAAAACTCAAGTGACAACACATGCTGGAGAGGTTGTGGAGAAAGGGGAACCCTCCTCCATTGCTGGTGGAAATGCAAACTTGTACAACCACTTTGGAAATCAATCTGGTGCTTTCTCAGACAATTAGGAATAGTACTTCTTCAAGATCCAGCTATACCACTCCTAGGCATATATCCAAAAGAGGCTCAAGTATACAACAAGGACATTTGCTCAACCATGTTTGTAGCAGCTTTATTCGTAATAGCCAGAACCTGGAAACAACCCAGATGTCCCTCAGTTGAGGAATGGATACAGAAATTGTGGTACTTTTACACAATGGAACACTACTCAGCAATTAAAAACGAGAAAATCATTAAATTTGCAGGCAAATGGTGGGACCTAGAGACGATCATCCTAAGTGAGGTATCCCAAAAGCAGAAAGACACACATGCTATATACTCACTTATATAGACCTATAAGATAGCATAAATATACTGAAATCTATCCACCTAAAGAAGATAAACAAGAAAGAGGACCCAGGGTATGATGATCAATCCTTACTTAGAAAGACAAATGGGATGGACATTGGAAGTAGGAGCAAACAAGTAACAGGACAGGAGCCTACCACAGAGTACTTCTGAAAGACTCTACCTAGCAGTGTATCAAAACAGATATTAGGACTCATAACCAAACCTCTGGCAGAATGCAGGGAACCAAAAATAAATAAATAGATAGATAGATAGATAGATAGATAGATAGATAGATAGATAGATAGATGAATGAATAAATAAATAAATAAACAGATAAATAAATGAATGAATGAATAAATAGATAGATAGATAGATAAATAAATAAATAAATAAATGAATAAATGAATAAATAAATAAATAAATGTATGTGGGGGGGGTTACTACAACTTGGAGAGGACAGGAGTTCCACAAGGACCAAATATACCTGGGCACAGGGGTGTTTTATGAGACTGTTTCTCCAAACAAGGACCATGTATGGATGCAACCTAGAGCCCCTGCTCAGATGTAGCCCTTGGTAGCTCAGTATCCAAATGGGTACCCTAATAAGGGGAACAAGGACTATTTCTGGCATGAACTCAATGGCTGGCTCTTTGACACCCCCCCCCCCGGGAGAAGCAGCCCTGCTAGGCCACAGAGGAGGACTTTGCAGCCAGTCCTGAGGATACCTGATAAACCAGGATCAGTCTCTGACCCAGTCTATGACCCATGATAGCATGAAACTCACAATGTAGCTCATATTGGCTTTTAACTCATGGCAATCTTGCCTTAGCTTCCCGAGCACTGGGATTATAGGCATGAGCCATCATGCCCAGTTTTAGAAATGTAAGTAAGTCTTGGGCAAAGATTTTCTTCACAAATGGGACAACCAACAACTGATCATAATTACGTATTTTTGTCAGCATGTTTCTATGCCTTGTCATAGGAAACTTCTGCTTCCCTAAAAGTAAATATCTTCTTTCTAATGATGTCTAGGTTTGTGTTGAGGGTATGTGTGCATGTGAGCGCAGTGTGCAGCCGGAGGAGTGTGCTGAATCTCCGAACCTGGAGTTACAGGTGTTTGTGAGCCACCCGGAGAAGGTGCTGGAACTCAGACGCGAGTCTTAACTGCTCAGCCATCTCTTCAGCCACAATATTTTGCTTTAATATCATAATTTGATACAGGCTTAACTGTGTGTTTTGTGTTTATATTTTAGTGGAATATGCATAAATTTCTAACATCTTGAATAGGGTACATTCTTATCCCCCACGATATTAGCGTTACTCATCAGATGAGGAGGCCCCTGGCTCTGGTCTAGGACCCACTGAAGCAAGACTTGCTTTTCACCTCCTAACTCCTGACTTCCACTTTTGATGGACATAAAAGGATCCTTCCCACCATATAAGTCAGCAATATAATTAACTGAAGGATTGTGTATTTAATATGTAACACCATTGAGCACAGAAGGGAAGAAGGAGGTTGCATTCCATGAATGGAAAATTTCTTACTTCAATTACAGAAATAACAAGTAGCTGTAATATGGGTAACTATGTTGCAGGCACACCACACTAAATCATGAAGTCCTTACAACAGCCTGAATAATAAATGAAGAAATTAAAGTTTAGATTTGTTATCAAAATTGGAGGTTCTAAGTGGTTAAAGGTAAGACTGAACTCCAGGTCAACCTGCAAAAGTGAGAAAGGTCTCTGTTCCGTGGTATTCCCACTAGTGGTTTACAAATATGTCAATTCCTCACTGGCCTTTGCTGATTAGATCATTATTCAGCAGAATCAGCTGACTTCCGAGGCCTGCTAAGTAATAAACCTGGAATGGTACATATGATTCACTATGCATACTAACTCCAGGTAACTGGTTTCTCATGCCACCTCTTGAAACGGACAGAAACCTGTACCTGTCAGACAGTCTTGAATTTGCAGCTGAAAGCCCTCATTTGGCCAATCCTGACAGCTTTTCCTAATGTGAACATCCGCATTTCCCTGGCAGCTATTTTGTCAAATGTCCCTAGAGACATAAACTTTCAGAATGCAGTTTTAAAATGTCAATGGTTTTAAATACAAAGAGCATGACAAACTATTTACATAATTAGAAAATGAGTAACAATCAGTCCTGGGCAAAAGCATTCATCCAATGAAACTGCATTCTACTTGGGCATGGAGTTATAATTCTGAAATCAGGAAAACACTAGGGAAGAGAATACCTCAGCTTAGTAAGATGTTTTCATAGGATAGAAAATATATGGAAGGCTGCCCCTGCAAAACACCACAATGTAGGCAACTGAGAAAACAGGTATGTATAGAATTCTGGAACAGAAGTCTGAGGTAAAAAATGCCAGTAGGGGTATGCATCTCTAACATCTTTAAAGAAACACTTCCTTGCATTTTCTAGCTTTAGGTGCTCTGCCAGCAATCCCTGCTGTTCCTTGGCTTGTGGCTATATAATTGCAATTTCTGTCCCATCTCCACATGATATTCTCTGTCTCGTTGTCTTCCATGGCCATCTCCCGATAATGACATCAGTCACTTTGGATGAGAGCCTCACCTCCCAGGATGTCTTCCACTTAGCTGACTGTGCCTACAGAGCTGTTATTCAGGAATGGGGCCCTATTTGGAGGTCGGAGATGCCATGACTTGAAAATGTCAGTTTCCCAATGGGGAACACAGTTACATTTCTCACAGCTTCTGGATGACAAAGGTCTGGCTCTGGAGACTTCATGGGGAACATGGATGAGCTGTGGCACAGTTGCTAAGCCACCACATCTTGAGTTTGGCATATTGCATCAGAAAGAGACTTCCAATCACATGGTTTACTGGGCTGATTGGAGTCCTCGCCACACATGCTTTTTATGTAATTTATTATGACACAATGCAGACAAGCTTGAGAGAAACAAAGGTCACTCCCAGGCTGTAGGTGAAGAAAGAACCGAAAACTGGAATGATGAGTTGGTAATAGGCCCAGCAGATAGATGCCAGGCTCCAAACTCTCAAGTAGGGGCAGAAGAAGTGCCCATGGGTGAGCTGGGAAGCCATAACTGAAATGCCCGCATAAAGCCATGATGGATGCACTCTTCATGTAGGTGAACTAGAAAAAATGCCCCCCCCCCCCATCAGTTCAATGCTGGATGTTACAACTATGGACAATCACAAGTTTCTAGTAAGGTCTACCATGTCCAACCCTTCACCACATAGATATGCTTTACCCAACCTCACCTGAGTAAGGGACCTACCTGACATGGAGAGCTTGAGATAAGTGACTGGGAAAGCTGCCTAGGACGAGTGCAGCAAACTAAGGTTCAGGGGTCACTGCTTTGTAGGAGTGTCACCACTCACACAGAAACACTGCCATCCTGCCACAAAGCTGGGCTGTGATCCAGAATCAGTGCTCCCAAGCAGAATAAAAGCTTCTCCGCATGGCTACCTGGATTCACAGCCCCCCAGAGGCTTCCTGTGTGGCTCTACAGAAACCATCACCACACAGGTTATGCCTACAATCCAAAGTCTCCCTGGCACAGAGGACCTCAAACTGTACCAACATCTCCCCCACCCCCAAAAAATCCAAACAGAAGATGATAACAGCACTCTGCTGCTAAGCACACAGACTCCGCCACCCAGAAAAGTCTAAAATGTACCCTGTGCTCTCACTGAGCCTGTTTCCAGGGAGCACAGCCTGGTGACGGAACTCCAGCCACAGCTGCACTGGCCTTTACCTCAGGATGTTGGCCGTGGCTTTCCTTTCTTGAGGAAGAAGGTCTGGGTCTCGTAGAACTTCTTCTAGCAAGTTCAGAACATTCATTTTGAGTTCATTATTGAGTTCAAAATCCTATAAAATAAAATGAACCTTTTAAGATCTTCAGTTCAGGGTTAGCTCTGTGTCCTGTGACACTATTGTTCATGATGGTTTCCCTGAAAGCCAGGTACGAAACTGAAATGCATGGTCTCAGAGCTCCTTGCTGCATGCTCCTCGTGGCCCTGACTTGAACAGTCTTGGCTAGGGCTGGGCTGTCACATGTTTGCCAGGCACCCCAGGAGATGAGAGCAGGTAGCCAAGCTGAACACTGTTGCTTGTGGTACACTAGCTAGGCCTCGTCTCCAGCAGCCATTACAAACACAGCCAGCTTCTTGCCTCTAACTCCCCCCACCCCCTCCAAACATCCGGCCTCAACACACACGGGATCGCACTGCCTGCTCCTAACATGCTTGTTCAGTTCCCTAGAAGGAACTGTATTTCCTCAACCCTGACACTGTGCCCCTCCCCAGGTGGAGTCTCAGTTATCTCTCAGATCTTGGAGTTGATAACACTCTCCTTGGAGTCATTAACTGACACAGTGGTTGAGCGCTTTTCTCTTGTGCTCCATGGAGTGCACAATTCACTATTATCACAATTTAGTGTGGCATATTTTAAAGACCAGCGCAGTTGCCTGGTTTTCTAGTGGACAATGAGTAACATCAGAAAAAAGCACATAGCAGTAACTTAAAACGAAATTGTTGTATGAATAAAATGTGTTATTTGGGTGGTCATGTGAATATGCTAAGGCTATTGATGCCAATGCACTTACATGTAGTATAACAAGTATGCTAAAGGGTAAAAAGAAATGATTTTCAGAAACTGGCATGGCTGTGCCAGAGACAAGACAGACACTGACGAGGCAGATAATGAGCAGAGTTAACTAGACTGGAGCATAGTACCGAATAATGAGAGATAAGAATTTGTGAGACATTCCTAGAAATGGATGGAAGGGTGGTTGCGTGGGTAAATGAAGATGGGTGGGGATACAAAGAGGTGAGTATGGGTAGGTGGATACATGGGTGGGTGGGTGGATGGGTGGATGGATGGATGGGTGCATGGGTGGTTGGGTGGGTTGTTGAGTAGGTATATGAATGGATGGATGGCGGGTGGGTGGGTGGGTGGATAGATGGATAAAAGGATAGAAGGGTGGTTGAGTGGGTAAAGGAATGAATGGATGGGTAGGTGGATGAATGGTTGGATGGATGGATGGATGGATGGATGGATGGATGGATGGATGGGTGGATGGGTGGGTGGGTGGGTGGATGGATGGGTAAGGGGGTAGACAGATGTACAAATGGATGGATGGATGGATGGATAAAAGGATGGAAGTGTGGTTGAGTGGGTTAATGAATGGATGGATGGATGGTGGATGGGTGGGTGGGTAGGTGGTGGTTGGATGGATGGATGATTGGATAGGTAGATATATTATAATAGAGGAATGCGTGCATAAGCGAGTAGGAGATTAAACTGTCCTTTCTAGAACAACTGTAACTTGGAAGTTGGAGGAATAAGTGAATCAGGAAAAATCAGCATTTCCAACCAAATCAGTCCTAACTGACTCAGGCAAGGATCACCAGCGGATGCTGAAGTGGTGTAACACATGGCTGCTGAAAAGCACTGAGTTTCACAGGAAACCCCCTAACTATCCTTGTTTGTTACTAAGGAAGAACTTGGTGATATCACTCATGTCTCCAGCCATAGCAACGTCAAAACTGTGCATGCCAAATTTTCATCTAATTGTGAAGAGGCCTTGACCTATATCCTGTAAAATGTAAATGCCATAAAAGACAAAACAACAAAACAATGAATGTTTTCATTAGGAAGAAAACCAACTCAGCAGCAGCCTGGGACCTGGACTACAGCCATCTGTAGAGCACTGTACCGGGAATAAACTGTCTGAGAGTTGATCGTTTTTCTGTTGGCGTGTTCTTGGTTTGTAAAGGATGGGGAGGAGGTAAGGGAGATGAGTGTAAACACTCTGATTCCAGGTGTGTGTCACTATGCTGTTTTAGTAAGTTTTCCATTGATTTGAAAATTTTCATGGTAAAATATCATGGGACAAACAGAATAAAGATGTGAATCTGCGGCTCTTGCGCTCTTGTGAAGAGGATTCAGATGCACCGTCCCCCGCCGGAAGCTGGGACTGTCAGAATGAACAGGGCTGCCGGGGCTGCACAGGAAGGCCTTGCTCTCAGAGATTGCTAGTCCGTCTGTGCAAGCAGGCGAGATCGTTATGCACATAAATTGTTACAATATTAAAGAATATTCTATTATAATAGTCACATTATTATATTGTTGCTTATTATCCCTTACTATAATTACATTCTAACATTAAAGAAAATGATTTTTGAGGAATTAACCTTCTGGATAATTTTAAATCATTTTAAATCATAGATGTTGGGAGATCAACATCGCTAATAGTGATGAGTTAGATAAAGACAGTATCTCTCTTATCAATATTAAATAATGTTTCCACAAAATGTCACCTATCTATGGCCCAACATCTCCCTGTTATGCAGGTTTCTCTTGAACTGTGTGTGTGTGGATACGCTGGTTATATCCTGCTGCTGTTTCGTCTTCATTCCATGCCCACCCCCATCTCAAGGCAGAAGTATTTGTATTTGTAAACAGTTAATGACCTCGCCTCTATGTACTACCAAAGGAGCTCACAACCCTCAGGAGTCTATTTCCTTAATGAATATTTGCTATATATTAGTGAGTCTTCATGTGGCGGTGTTGAGACTCTAATGATGCAAATAATCTGATTAACATAAACAGCAGGATTAGTGTGAAGGACACCAGCTTTGTCTCAGCCTTGAGAGCTAATTAGTGATGAGCTGGCACCCTCGAGCAGCTGCTGGGCTCCACCTGGGCTGCACAGGGTTGCTCGGAGGCCCTCAGCCAGCCAGTGTGGAAGGTCTCCTAGACTCACGGCCTCCTATGATGCCGAGAATAAGTGATAGGACGGAACGCTGGCCCTCTGCAAGAGAGCAAGTACTCTTAACCACTGGGTAATCTCTCCAGCTCCAAGATTCTGTCTGTGACAAACTCCACAGTAACTGAGCTTGAGGATCAAAACTTTGCACTACTTTTGTTTTCCTTTTAAAGCTGAAACCTTTGCTGTACCCACAGGATACTATGTTATTCACAAATGAACATAAAAATACACGATTGGTCTTTTTAAAAGTATAGAATATTCTTCCCAGTTAAAACTAAATCTAAATCAGAACTGGAAGGCATTTCCCCCTGTTGAAATCCAGAGACCGGATATTTATAAGCCTGGCATTGCACCACAGAATGTTAATTTTGGCTGCGTGTCCCAGGCGCAGGGGAGCCATTTGTCCACAAGATGGCGCTGCTGGGCCGCTGCATCTTGGGAAGCGGAAGCCTTGGTTCAGTCCTGGAGTCTAGAAACAGCAGGGGAGCTGGGCCTGACACTCGGGAAGTCTAGGTTATCGCGGCTGTAATTGTTTCCGCGTGACCCCCCATGCCCCTCCGCGCCAAACGAATGAATCACAGGCGTAAACACAGCGAATCGTTAAGTTTAAAAACATAAAATAAAACAGCGAAGACCCCAGGAAATAGGAGGTGTTTCAATCTGTCTCTTAATATTTTGACCACTGTTGAGCGAGTTAATGCACAGGTGCCGGGGAAGGCAGAGCACAAGTCCGGGTGGATGGGCGGGTGGAGGAAACACTGGCAAGAGTCAGCTAGAGCAGAGGCCTCAGCATGTGGGGCTGGGTGCTGCAGAGAGGGCTACCTGAGGTTCTGCTGAGGCTTGGAGCGTCAGCGAAGGCTGGAGTCTAAGAACCAGCGGAGAGGTGACTGCTGGAGGGAGCAAGTGACAGGCCTCTAGGCGGGGCTGTGACGCGCACCGGCCCCTTACCTGCGGAGATTATCGATGGATGGTGCCAACGAGGTGAGGCTAACAGTGGCTGACTGGGACTCAGGGAGAGCTTGCTCCATGCTAGGTCCTGGCTAGGCTTCATGTTACATATTACATGCTTATTCCCATTTCAAGTGTGGAAAGTCTAGATTCGCAGAGCCTAAAACTCGCATTCGAAGTTCAACGGGCCACACCTGATCTGGACTCCCTTAGTGCTACCTAAGGCTAAATTTCACACCACACAGACCTTCAGAAGAAACAGCTGTGCACCCTACACCAGCCTGACAGGCCTGGGAGAGCAGGCTGTAGTGGACACTAGCTGAGTCTGCAGCTGTTTCTCTCTTGAACTCAGGGATCTTCAGGTGTTCCAGCCTGAACAAAGCAGTTTGCTTTAACAAGATTTAACCACACAACACAAAAGTACTCTGTAAAATTGGCCTGGTCACACAAGGTTGTAATCCCAGCTGCTCTGGAGCTGAGGCAGGAGGCCTGGAAATTCAGCGTCAGCCTTAGCTACTGAGTGAGCCTAGAATGTTGCAAGGCCCTTGGTCCAACCCCAGTGTAGGAGAAAGGAGAGAAGATGAAAGCTGTGGATCAATAAACCACGCTCCCCAGCACTGCAGAACTAAGCCATGTTGCTAGCGTGATCGTTCTGAAACCCACATTCGTTCTTTCCAGAGGGCAGGGTAAGAATTAAGTACATGCTACATGTGACCAAGACAAGTCCAGGGCATTGGGGGAATCCAAACCGGCAAACACGATTAGCAGAGAAGGGGAAAGATGACAGCGATTTTCTCTGTGATCAGCACAGGGTATTCTAAGTGGCCAGAAATTTTAGAAGTGGGGACCATGCAGAGCAGAGCAGGTCTGCACAAACAAGCCTAAAACCATGGACAAAGGTCCACAGGCAGGTGCTTAGGGTCTGGTGGGTCTGCTGGGATTCAGCCCGGGACAAGGGCTGGGCTCAGTGCCTCCTTAACATACCAAATCAGGCCTGGCCTCCAGGTGCTCCTAGCACCCCTCAATCCCTAACTGAACTTTCCAGCCCAGAGACTGAACTTCTTCTCTACCAGAGGCTCTTCACTATAGAATCCAGGTAGTTTCTCTCTCTCTCTCTCTCTCTCTCTCTCTCTCTCTCTCTTTCTCT